CCAATCAATTTCCCAGGCATGTCAGTAATTTGTCTTCAATCCTGCCGTCTTCCACCTTAGCTTACAGTCTCTTATGTGGGACTTTATCAAATACATTGTGGAATCCATATAAACAACATCCACAGACATTCCCTGTCCACTACCTCAGATACCTCTTCAAAAAATTGAGTGAGGTTTGTTAGGCATTACCTACCTGTCATGAAGCCATGCTGGCTTTTGCTGATTAACTGGAAATTTATAAGGTGTTCATTTACCCCATCTTTGATGAGAGACTCCCACAGTTTCCCCACCACAGACGCTAGGCTAACTTACCTGTAATTCCCTGGTTTTCCTCTTTCACCTTTCTTAAAAAGCAGAGTGACATAGACTCTTGGAGTCATACAGCACAGAAACAGACCCTTTGGTCCAACCAGTCCATGCTCAACATAATCCCAACTAAACTAGTCCGACCTGCCTGCTCCTGGCCCATATCCCTCCAAACCTTTCCTATTCATGTACTTATCTAAGTGTCTTTTTAAACATTGTAACTGCCTATATCCATCACTTCCTCTGGAGATTCATTCCACATATGAACCACCCTGTGTGTTTAAAAAAAAAACTTGCTCCTCATGTCTTTTTTAAATGTCTCTCCTCTCACCTTAAAAATATGCCCCTTGTCTTGAAATCCCTCATCCTCGGGTAAAGACACTTACCATTAACCCTATTTATACCCCTCATTATTTTATAAACTTCCGTAAGATTACCTCTCAACCTCCTATGCTCCAGGGAAAAAAGTCCCAGCCTATCCAGCCTTTCTATAAACTCAAACCTTCCATACCCAGCAACATCCTGGTAAATCTCTTCTGAACCCTCTCCAGCTTACTAATATCGTTCCTATAACATGCAATTTTCCAAACCAGAGGGACTCCTGTATCTAGGAAACCGTGAAAGATTATAGTTTGGACATCCCACAGTATGCTCCCCTACTTCCAATAACAATCTTGGATGGAAACCATTTCTGCCATTTGGCCCAGTGTGCATGTCCTAGCCAAAGAAGTGCTAATTCTACAGTCGAATAGCCTACCCCGTGTCCAAATTCACAATTCACTTTCCAGCTGTTTGGCCTGGCAGACTTCAGCCCAAGCTTCTTTTGAAATGCAATGAAGGTTTCCTTTATTCTTTCTTGGGATGTGGGTGTTGCTGGCGAGGCCAGCATTTATTGACCAAAAGGACTTAAGAGTCAACCACATTTGCTGTGTTTTGAAGTCGCATGTAGGCCAGACCAGGTAAGGATGGCAGATCTGTTTCCCTAAAGGCCATCAGTGAACAAGGTGGCTCAAATAAGAAGGTGATATTGTGGATGGTGGAAATCTGAAACAAAAACGTTGGAGAAACTCTGCAGGTCTGGCTGCACCTGTGCAAAGACAGCAGAGTTAACTTTTCGGGTCCAGTGACCATTCATCAAAAGAGTGTGTTCTGAAGAACATCTAACCTCACTGAACTCATGACATTAACTCTGCTTTCCCTCCACAGATGCTGCCAGACCTGCTGAGTTTCTCCAGCAATCTCTGTTCTTGTTTCAGGTTTCCAGCATCTGCAGTGTGTTGTTTTATTTTACTGATCCTTTATCACATTGCTGCCTGTGGGAGTGTTCCATCCACAAACTGACTGCATGCTTTCCAGGAACAAAAAAAAAGTTGCTGGAAAAGCTCAGCAGGTCTGGCAGCATTTGTGAAGGAAAAGTCAGAGTTAACACTTCGGTTCCGGTGACCCTTCCTCAGAACTGATGGTGGCTGGGGAAATGTCAGTTTATTTGCAGACAATAGTGAGTTGGGTGGGGTAGGGAGTAAATGATAGGATAGAGCCCCAAGAGAGAGGAAGACAGTTGGACAGACAAAGGAGTTGCTAACGATCAGGCTGGGAGGGTGAATAGTTGTTAATGGGGACTGTTAGTGACGAACAACAGGGGGTGTGTAATGATAGGCTATGTGCCTCTTTGTAGGTTACGTCGTCCTCACCCTCAACAACTTCTCTTTCAATTCCTCCCACTTCCTACAGACAAAGGGGGTAGCCATGGGTACCCGCATGGGCCCAAGCTATGCCTGCCTCTTTGTAGGTTACGTGGAACAATCCCTCTTCCGTACCTACACTGGCCCTAAACCCCACCTCTTCCTCTGTTACATTGATGACTGTATTGGCGCCGCCTCATGCTCCCACGAGGAGCTCAAACAGTTCATCCACTTCACCAACACCTTCCACCCCAACCTTAAGTTCACCTGGACCATCTCCAATACCTCTCTCTCCTTCCTGGACCTCTCTGTCTCCATCTCCGACAACCACCTGGAAACCGATATCCATTTCAAACCCACCGACTCCCACAGCTACCTAGAATACACCTCCTCCCACCCACCTTCCTGCAAAAATGCCATCCCCTATTCCCAATTCCTTCACCTCCGCCGCATCTGCTCCCAGGATGAGGCATTCCACTCCCGTACATCTCAGATGTCCTCGTTTTTCAAGGACTGCAAACTCCCCCCTTCAGTGGTCGAGAACGCCCTCGACTGTGTCTCCTGCATTTCCTGCAACTCCTCCCTCACACCCCCTCCCAGCAATAACAACCAAAACAGAATCCCCCTCATCCTCACGTACCACCCCACCAACCTCCGGATCCAACGCATCATCCTCCGACACTTCTGCCATCTGCAATCCGACCCCACCACCAAAGACATTTTTCCCTCCCCACCCTTATCTGCTTTCCGGAGGGACCAGTCTCTCCGTGACTCCCTCGTCCGCTCCATACTCCCCCTCCAGCCCCACCTCACCCGGCACATTTCACTGCAACCGCAGGATGTGCTACACCTGCCCCCTCACCCCCATCCCAGGCCCCAAGAAGACTTTCCACATCAAGCAGATGTTCACCTGCACATCTGCCAATGTGGTATACTGCATCCGCTGTTCCCGTTGTGGCCTCCTCTACATCGGGGAAACCAAGCGGAGGCTCGGGGACCGCTTTGCAGAACACCTACGCTCGGTTCGCAATAAACAACTGCACCTCCCAGTCGTGAACCATTTCAACTCCCCCTCCCATTCCGCAGACGACATGTCCATCCTGGGCCTCCTGCAGTGCCACAACGATGCCACCTGAAGGTTGCAGGAACAGCAACTCATATTCCGCTTGGGAACCCTGCAGCCCAATGGTATCAATGTGGACTTCACAAGCTTCAAAATCTCCCCTCCCCCTACCGCATCCCAAAACCAGTCCAGCTTGTCCCCACCTCCCTAACCTGTCCTTCTTCCCACCTATCCCCTCCTCCCACCTCAAGCCCTACCCCCATCTCCTACCTACTAACCTCATCCTGCCCCGTTGACCTGTCCGTCCTCCCTGGACTGACCTATCTCCTCCCAATCTCCCCACCTACACTCACCTTTACTGGCTCCATCCCCGCCTCTTTGACCGGTCTGTCTCCTCTCCACCTATCTTCTCCTCTATCCATCTTCTATTCGCCTCCCCCTCTCTCCCTATTTATTTCAGAACCCCCTTCCCCTCCCCCATTTCTGATGAAGGGTCTTGGCCCGAAACGTCAGCCTTCCTGCTCCTCTGATGCTGCTTGGCCTGCTGTGTTCATCCAGCTCTACACCTTGTTATCCCTGGTAACAAGTCTTTCCAGTATTGCAGCCATAACTGCAGCTTAAAGGCATTTTGGGGCATCCAGAAGTTGTGGAAAGGAGCTATACAAATACATATCTTTTTCTAACATTTCACAAAGGACGCACGCCACCACAAATCATGGAATCTCAGGTCAGAAACATTAGCTTTGTCAGCAATGCCTAAATACTGCAAATCAATGAAACAAAACACACTTTTGAAAGCTTTTTATCAGAATGACGCAAGATATAATTTTTCCTCCTCATTCATTTTTAATTCTCTTTTCAAATCTAAAAGTGAAATTTGTAGCCGTGGAAAACTGTAATGGATTATCTTTTCGAGGTTATTCCGAATGCAATGTTATTGACCTGAAATTATACTCGCCTTTCTCTCATCATAACTGCTGCCAGGCCTGATCAGCATTCATGAAATGTGCTGGCTGGGCCAACATTTATTGCCCATTCCCAATTGCCCTGGACTAGAGGGTAGTGAGCTGCCTCCTTGAACTATTGCAGTCCTTGGGGGTCTAGTGACATTCGCAGTGCTGCCAGGGAGAGAGTTCCAGGATTTTGACACAGCAAAACTGAAAGACCAGTGAAATATTTCCAAGTCAGTATGGTGAGTGGCTCGGAGGGGAACTTGCAGGGGCTAATGTTCCTGTGTATCTGCTGCCCTTGTCCTTCTATATGGTAGTGGTCATGCGTTTGAAGGTGCCGTCAAAGGGACTTTGATGTGTTGCTGTAGTGCATCTTGTTGGTGCCGCTGTGCATCAGCGATGGAGGGAGTGAAAGTTGGAGATGATGGATAGACTGTCGATGAAGCATAGCTAGCATTTTTTGTTTCTATTTCAGATTTCCAGCATCTGCCATATTTTGCTTTAGTATTATCTTTTTGATTTGATTCTAGCTCTGCTCTGTTGCCTCATAACTGAAAGTTGAAGATGAATGAGGACAATATTCTTTTATAAAGAAGGGTAGATATACTTCAGCGTGGAAGAGGCTTCAGTTTGCTTTCTAGTTTCATACTTTGAAAGAAATGAGATGGCACTTGAAACCTGTGGAAGTGATTCACTCAAAAGTTTTAACCTGATGAAAGTTTCAAAGCTGTGAAAGAATCCTATCATCTGCTCACCTACATGTTGGGTGATGGATGATGGCTGTGAAAACTGTATAGTGTTTTACGATAGATTGATTGAAAAGATGACACATCCATTTTGAACACCGCAATTGGAAGGCGAGAAAAAAAGATCTGCCTTGTCATTCACTTATTCAGGTAGAATATTGATGACTCACTCATCTATTGTTATAAGGTATTTTTTGTTTGAACCTGTTGCTGACTTTTGAACTGAACAAAACATATGTCCTCTTTTCCACAGGATTTATGAACGTATCATTGATCCTCCGCAGACCAATCTCAAACCAGGAATCAGTTTATGGCTTGGTCAACGAAGCAATAGACATGGACTATTTAAGGTAGGCAATAAGATCCAAATTCATTTAATTGAGCTGAACCACTACCTTACAGTGGCATTCTACAGTCTACTTACACATTTCAATTATAATGCAGCCACAAAGATGTAATAAAATACCAGCATTAACCTGTTGAGTTCTTGATAACTGGTTGATTTAAAGCTATGTTTGTTCCACGTCATAATATTTCATGGCAATTATTGCAAATATTCATGTGGCTGTTCTCTTGGTTTAAGAGTCTGTTTACCATTTGGGTAATCAACAGAAATATTATCATTCAAAATAATGCAATTGGAAATTGAGAAATGAGTTCTGGAACAGAAACAATTTATCTGGTGTCATTACTTTTCCCTGTGTTTTACAACAGCGAGACAGTTGGTACATTATTTGTTTTCAATATTGTGCAATTGCTTTCCCATGTCTCTTTTTTAAACTTGGTGCGTTCAAAGATAGAAAATGCTGATGAGTTGGGGGAGGCAGTGTGGGAAGTGTGTACACTCCTGCCAAGGATTTCTGCTGGCGAGAAAGCATGTTACTCTGATCTTGCATTTCAGTGCTGCGTTTCACCAGCTACTGGGTGTGAGCTGTCTGGATGAAGCACCACTGAATTAACAATAGGAACATCTTAGAAATGTGCAACAGGACAGCTGTTTCTGTCTGGGTCATTTCAAAATTGCTGTTTTACTAAGCTGAAAAACTGATTGCAAGTAGATGTTTTGGCATACGTACCACATAGGGATTTTTAATAATCACAGAATCCCGACAGTGTGGAAGCAGGCCATTTGGCCCATCAAGTCCACAGCAATCCTCCAAAGAGCATCCCACCCTATCCCTGTAACCCTGCATTTTCCATGGCTAACCCACCGAGCCTGCACATGCCTGAAAGCTACGGGCAATTTAGCATGGCCGATCCACTTAACCTGCACATCTTTGGACTGGAGGAGGAAACCAATGCAGTCACAGGGAGAATGTGCAAACTCCACGCAGACCATCACCAAGGGCTGGAATTGAACTCAAGTTCCTGGTGCTGTGAGGTAGCAGTGCCAACCACTGAGGCACCATGCCGCCCTAATCAAAGAAGGCTTTTTAAAAAATGCATTCGGGGGATGTGGGCATCGCCAGCTGGGCCAGCATTTAATGTCCATCACTAATTGCCATCAAGCTGTCTTCTTGAACTGGTGCAGTCCATTTGGTTTGGGTAGACCCACAATGCTGCTAAGGAGAGACTTCTGGGATTTTGCCCCAATGACAGTGAAGGAACAGTGATAGGTTTCTAAATCAGGATGGTGAGTGGCTTGAAGGAAAACTCGCAAATGGTGGTGTTTCCATGTATCTGCTTCCCTTATCCTTCTCGATAGTCATGGTCAGGTTATAGTCCAACAGGTTTATTTGAAAATGCAAGCTTTCGAAGCTCAGCTCCTTCCTCAGGCATAGTGTCAGGCGTTTTCGAATAAACTTGTTGGACTACAACCTGGTGTCATGTGGTTTTTGACCTTGTCCACCCAGTCCAACACTGGCATCTCCACTAGATGGTCATGGGTAGCGAAGGTGCTCTAGGAGCCTTGGTGAATTGGTGCAGTGCACTTTGTAATTGGTACATACTGCTGCTATCAGGTGTCACTGGTGGAGGGTGTGAACGTCTGTGGATGTGGGCTGCTTTGTCCTGGATAGTGTCAAGTTTCTTAAGTGTTGTTGGCGTTGCATGCTTTGAAATCATGTAAAAAACGAAGTGGGACATGTCCATATTTTGAAGCACAAAAAGGCGTTGTAGAAAATCCACTGGATAATGACATTTTACAACAGCCTCATTTTCTTACCTGGGAAGGATTGGGTGATAGCCTTCCAATGTTAGGGACTGCTTATAGATGACTCTAAAGTGTTGTGTGATTGATAGAAGCTTGTTTGGGCCAAAGCGAATGAAACAAGTTGCATTTATATAATGTCCAAGAGTGCTTGGGTATTATTCTTCGGGATAAACGGATCAAAGGATATGGGGAGAAAGCGGAAACAGCATACTGAGTTAGATGATCAGCCATGATCATTTAGAATGGTGGGCAGGCTTGAAGGGCTGAATGGCCTACTCTTGTACCTCTTTTCCATGTTTCCGATGCTTCATGGGACTATACAAAGCACAATTTGACACTCAACCACATATAGAGAAGTTAAGGCATGTATCCGATAACTTGGCCAAAGATGTAAATTTTAAGGAGCATTGTAGAAGAGGAGAGCGAGGTAGAGAGACACTTTTAGGGAGAAAGTTCTGTAGTTTAGGGGCTAGACAAAGCCACACATAGTAAAGTGTTTAAAATCGGGGTGGTTCAAAAGGTGAAAATTATGGATGTTCATGTATCCCTGGGGGTGATGCAGTTGGAGGGGATTTAAGAGATCTTGAGCAGTGTAAGCATGGATGGATTTCAAAGCAAAGATGAAAATTAAAAACTAGCTCTTGCATTATCGGGAACCACTGAGTGAGCAAAGTGGGAAATGAGTGAATGTCTTTTGGATGACCCAAAGTTTACGGAGGATTGATATGGGAGGTTGGCCAAGGTGTTTTGCAGTAGTCCAATCTGGAGGTAACAAAGGAATGGATAAGTGTTTCAACTGCAGATTATCTAATGCAGGGACAGCATTGGTGGATGTTAGAGGTGGGAATAGCTCCCCTTAATAATGATGAGGATATGTGATCAAAAACTAATTTTGGCGTCAAATATGATGCCAAATTTTTGCAACAGTCAAGCTGGTGAAGAAGCATTAGAATTTGTGGGGTCTGAAGACAATTACTTTGATCTTCCTATTATTTAATTGAAGAATATTTCTGTTTAATACTGAGTGTTGGAGAAGCCAGCAGATAAATCGTAACAAAGTGCTGGAGAAACTCGGTAGATGTGCCAGCATCTGTACAGAGAAAGTCATACAGATAATGTTTCGAGCCCTGTGACCCTTTTGTCAGAACAGTGGCTTGAAGAAGAGTCATTATCAAACTCAACGTTAAGTCTGTTTCCATCTCCACACATGCTGCCAGACCTTCTGAGTTTCTCCAGCTTTCAATGTGTTTGTTTCAGATCTCCATAATCTACAGTTCTTTTGTTTTATAATAACTTTAGCAAGAATGGAGTTGAAAATGATGGGAAGTGTGGTTAGCTGAATTTTGATGCTGCATTTCTAGCTGATCCTTTTTAGTGTTAGAACAAAGAACAAAGAAAATTACAGTACAGGAACAGGCCCTTCGGCCCTCCAAGCCTGCGCCGATCCAGATCCTCTATCTAAACCTATCGCCTATTTTCCAAGGATCTGTATCCCTCTGCTCCCTGCCCCATTCATGTATCTGTCTAGGTACATCTTAAATGACGCTATTGTGCCCGTCTCTACCCCTCCACTGGCAACACGTTCCAGGCACCCACCACCCTCTGCGTAAAGAACTTTCCACGCATATCTCCCTTAAACTTTTCCCTTCTCACTTTGAAATCGTGACCCCTAGTAATTGAGTCCCCCACACTGGGAAAAAGCTGCTTGCTCTGCACCCTGTCTATATCTCTCATGATTTTGTAGACCTCAATCAGGTCCCCCCTCAACCTCCGTCTTTCTAATGTTAATAATCCTAATCTACTCAACCTCTCTTCATAGCTAGTGCCCTCCAAAGGGCAACATGTAGATGAGAAGTAGAAGGTGGGTGGGGAGGTGGCAAAGATAGATCCTCGGGGAGGCCAGCTCAGGTCATGGTGATGGAGGGGAAGCCACTGCGACTGGGATAAGGAGGAAACGGTTTTGGATCTGTGGAATTCACTACGTCAAAATGAAGTGGGTACTGAATAAATGTTAAGGAGAAGATAGATTTTTAATTAGGAATGGATTAAAGGGCTATGGGGAGGCAATGGCCTAGTGGTATCATTGCTGGACTGTTAATCCAGAGACCCAGATGATGTTCTGGGGACCTGAGTTCAAATCCCACCACGGCAGATTGGTGGAATTTGAATTCAATAAATAGCTGGAATTAAGAGTCTGATGATGACCGTAAATCCATTGCTGATTGTCGGAAATATATCTGGTCCTTTAGGGAAGGAAACTGCCATCCTTACCTGGCCTGGCCTACGTGTGACTCCAGACCCACAGCAATGTGGTTGATTCATAACTGCCCTCTGGGCAATTAGCGATGGACAATAAATGCTGCCTGGTCAGTGACGCCCACATCCCGTGAGTGAATAAAGGAGACTGGAAAGCCGAGATGAGATCAGCCACAATCGTGTTAAATGGTGGTGCAGCCTCATTGGTTGAATTGCCTACTCCTGCTCCTAGTGTTTGTTTATAAATGATACTGTGGTTGCTATTGGATAGTGAAGACTTGATCCAATTGAGAGCAGTTCCATCCCACTGGATGACCAGAAAGGTTTTGAAGGAGAATGGTAATGGTTACCCACCTTAAAGGTTATGTTCAGGTTGACAAGCATGAAGAGGGAAAGTTTACCCTTTTCACAGTACGCTGGATGTCACTGATGACAAATATGTTGTCGGTTAGATCATACAAAGGATGGGTGGCATTTTCTCCTTAAGAGACCTTATGTACTAACTTAGCTAGTTGCACTGAAGCACCAGCTAGTCACAAGCTGACAGATGTAATGAGTTGAATTTTCCCACTTGCCCTGGTATGGTTTAAACTTTCAACCCTGAAGTTGCTAGCTCAGTGCCATAACTACTGTTGTAATGTACCTGATGCTGTCAACTTCCAATAATAGCATTTGATGACGGCTTGAACAGGTAGCTTGACCTATTTTCCGAAACACTACTTATAACATTTTAGAATTAATCATATTTCTGCCCTCTTTCCCATTTTGGATTCCTGTGTCTTGCAGTGTATTGGTGTGAGGCTGTGTGTCCATGACAACTGGCCTTGCAAAGGAAGATGTGATTGTGGTTGCAAATCTTGCAAGTTTCTCCTTGCATCACTGAATGATTGCTTAACCTACAAAATAATTCTGGAGTGGGATTAACCAATTTTTCTCTTCCTT